AAAAAAAAAAGGCCTGGCATAGTGGTGGCTCATGTCTGTAATCCCAGCACTTTGGGACATAAAAGCAGGCAGATTGCTTGTGGCCAGGAGTTCAAGAGAGCAGCCTGGGCAACATGGCAAGATCATGTCCCTACAAAAACTACAAAAATTAGCTGTAGTCCCAGCTACTCAGGAGGCTAAAGTGGGAGGATTGCTTGAGCCAGGAAGGTCCAGGCTTCAGTAAGCTGAGATCACACCACTGCACTCCAGCCTGGGTGACAGGGTGATACCCTGTCTCAAAAGAAAAGAAAAAAAAAAGAATTAACAGATTCATTTGCATCAAATATTCAAGTATTTTTATTTAAAGCTTGTAATGTTGTCATGTATTAACTTACTGCAACTTGAAACATGAAAATGAAAAAAAACCCACATTATTTAATTTTCTGTAATATTTACTGTATTTGAAAAATGATGAATACTTCAAAAAGCAAAGCTGCATGAAATGACTTAGCTCTAGTTCCTATTGATAGTTAAGTTTTGAAAGTCAGGATTTACATTTTATGGTTCAGAATTAACACATTCTATGAGGTAATAACACATCTTGCATTTGGGAGGGGCATAATATATCTAAGAAATCAAAAACATAAACATTTAAAAACTTTTTTTAAGTAATGATATAATTTTATGATATTAATTACATTCTACAGTTGGGGAATTTATATCTTTATAGGTGAAATATACTTATCTTTCTTGGTAAATAGCATTTTTCCCCTACATTTTTGTTCTAAATAAATGGACATATCTGATCATTGCATTTTTTTAAATTTAGGTTTTCTTTGCAAATTATGCACTATCATCTTCACTACTATTGCATTTTTCATATACAAACATCGTGTAAAGGACAGCACTGACATCCCAGATATAACTGTGAAGAATCCAAAAGTTAAGAAAAGAAAAACTGACTTGTAACTGGATCATCATTTTGTAAGAATTACATATTGTCAATCTAACAGTGAAATATTATACTAATATTAATAAAATTTAAAATAACAGTAATATAATTACATGTTTAACAAATAAATGTGCTTCATATAACTTTACATATTTTATTATATTTTGAGTGTAAATGTAATAATATAGTCTTTATGTTTAAAATTTCAAAAAATATACAGCACACATGTAATACTTTCAATAAGAGACAATACTTTGAAAAAAATGGAATGAAAATAGAAAATTACACCTAGGTTAATTTTGACTGAAGTGCTATCCCATTAATTGTTGACCTTTGCTATGTAGAATTAATTAGGTTCCCTTTTTAGTTCATTCTTAGTACTTTTGATTTGGATTGTAGATGTTTATTTTCTATTCTTAGTACTTTTGATTTGAATTGTAGATGTTTATTTTCTTTTCTAAATAAAAGCATATTTGTCAATCAAGTTTATGTAATTAAAGTTGAAATTAGTTATATTTATTTTCTAAAAAAGACTATCTTAAACCTTTTCAAATTAATATTTTATTTATCTGTAATTTGACATGAAGAAGTATCCTCAGAAAATTTCTTTGGTTAATTGACCAGTTTACAATAAATATTTTCTTTTTTTTTAATCTTAGTAAACATAAAATTCAGTATAATCATACACTTCTACCTAATTTTTTTTTACCTTTTTATATTTTTTTACCTTCACTTGAATTTTATTTATAAAGACTAACTGATAATCTGAGTTGAAATCTACTTTTGTGCTTTTATACTTCATTTTATGATTAGTCATAATTATTTAATGTGAAGAAATATTTAAATGTAGAAAATGGCTCAACTATAGATTTTTTTAAAGCTAAAATGCATTTTTATAGAGATTTTGTTATAATTTTTTATACATTATTATACATCAATCCAAATTACCTTTTCCAAATATTATATAAAAATTAGATTGTTGTGAAACAAAGTTCTCTACAATGTTTCTTTGTTCTCTTGGGGGAAGTGATAGCTGACAAAATTTTTCCGTTCTTATTAATGGTAGTCAGTGACCTTAAGTGGATGTGTAGACATTGTCCTATTCATGGTCATGGCTAACAGAAGGAAATGTGAAGTAGGCAATATTCATATCTTGCTATACATTTTTATTTCCTGCTATACATTTTATTTCAGCATGCATTTCAAAAATCTATGAACTAGTCTTCATGTAAAAATCTACTTGATTGCTTGACTCTTCTCTGTTTGAACCAGCAGGATTGCAAATCATTTGAGGATCAGAATGTGAAAATGAGTTTCTCTTTAAAGATTCTGGAAGATTTGTTTCTGTGCCCAACATTCAGAAGAGGAAAATCACACATGATGTTTACATAAGTAGCTTAAATGTATTTACAGTGACCTATATTTACATAATAAAGTGCCCTCTTGTGAAACATTTCTGATAATGTTTTTAATGTATGTAGAATTTTTAGAATTTACTGGGATAATTAAATTTTAATAATTTTAGATTATTTACATCTCTTCTTAATATTCTGCTATCAGAATATTATTTTTAAAATTATGCAACTAAAAAATAAAGTAAAATAATAACTTTCAGAGCCACTTTGAACATGCTTCTAAGGTGTGTTTGTGGTGTGTGTGTGTGGGGGGGTTGTATAGATATATTATTACCTGTTTATGTTACTCTTGCTTTCTTTTTTTCAGAAAATAAATCAGTGAAGGTGTAATAAAAATTAAATATTGGGAAGTACTGTTAAGACTTTAAATATAGATTTTTGCTGTAAAAGAATATGTGTTGCTGTATCACAAACTAATTCATGGAGGATTGACAAAAAGGAAAGTAATGTAAATATAATTCAGAAGTTCTATTTGTTAATTCCAATTTAATACCTCTTTAAATAATCAGGGGAAGTTTTTCACTATTACAGAGAAGACCTTAGCAATAAATAAAATCTCAAAAACAGCTAAAAATCCCACAGAAGTGCCGTTCTTAGGAGTCAGTTTTGAATAATTTAATGCCATCAAGAATCACTATACTTTTGAGAGTTTTAATGTACCTGAGGATACTACTTGTGCAGGTGAAGAAGGTGCAAAGATACTTCTAAATATTGGGATTCTAACTTTGATGAAACTGATCTCTTTTTGGAGTTTATATCTTCAAGGACCTGCATTTTAAAGGAAGAAGGTGAGCCCCAGCATTTAATCCTACAAAGGACTGAGTATGGTGGTGGGTAAAAATGCTAGTGGAAGTTTAACTGCTAAGATGTATTAAAATTCTGATAGTTTTTGTTAGAACTCTGGTGACAAAGTTGAATATTTTTGAGTGGTTTACCTCTACAATATTTTCTCCATAAGCCTACTTAGTCCTGGTGCTTAATTTTGCCTAAAGGGATACTGTAAAGAAATGTCTACAAAACATTATAGTGAAAATGATCATATTTTAAAACTGATGATAATTTATTTGTGCTCTTCAAGTTGTACTTGTTCTGAAGTCTTAAAATGATTGCTATGAAAATCCCAGTTTCTTAGTTCCGGATTCTTTTTTTTTTTTTTTTTTAACATCAGATTGAAATTTTACTGCTTATAACATCTAGCAATCTAATGCTAAATGTAGTCTAGAAATGCAATATGTAGCTAGGAAAGTGTCAATTTGGGATTTACTAATGGCATACTTCTCAGCTTTCAGCACTATAAAGAGTTTACTCCCATTTTTTATTTTGTTATTTCAGTCTGTTAGATACAGAGAAGTAAAGATGTGTCCAATTTAATATTTTTAATGGCACTCTTCATATCTTTAACATTGTCTAATATAATATTTTAATGAGTATTATTACAGCACAATATTGGGTTTTCAACCTCTAATGTGAGACTACCTTCTGAGGGTCTAAATATCTGGTATTAAAAGTGCTAGTGATGAATTTATTAATCTATTGTTGACTCTTGACATAGGAGTTTTCCACTAGTTATAAATATTAATTGTAGTCCTTCCCTATTGATTATATGTATATATTTATATACATATGTACTTTTCTTCATCCATTCTACTGTTGATGGGCATTTAGGTTGATTTTAGAGCTTTGTTATTGTGAATAGGGCTGCAATGCACATCTCTGTCCATGTGTTGTTATGGCAGGATGAATTTTATTCTTTTGGGTATATACCCAATAATGACATCACTGGGGCAAATGACAATTCTGTTTGAAGTTCTTTGGGAATTGCCACATTGCTTTTGACAATGGCAGAACTAATTTACATTCCTATCAGCAGTGTATAAGCATTTGCATTTCTTCATGAACTTGTTGGCACTCTGTTATTTTTGCCCTTTTTATAATTGCCATTCTGACTGGTGTAAGATGGTATCTCATTGTAGTTTTGATTTGCATTTCTCTAATGAGAATGGTGTGAAATTTTGAACTGTAAGTCCAATTAAACCTCTTTTTCTTCCTAGTCTCAGGTAAGCCTTTATCAGCAGTGTGAAAACAGACTAAGACAGTAAATTGGTACCAGGAGTGGGGTGGTACTGGAAAGATACCCAAAAATGTGGAAGGGACTTTAGAACTGGGTAACAGGCAGAGGTTGGAACAGTTTGGGGGGCTTAGAAGAAAACAGGAAAATGTGGAAAAGTTCGGAACTTCCTAGAAACTTGTTGAATGGTTTTGCCCAAAATGCTGATAGTGATATAGACAATAACATCCAGGCTGAGATGAGGAACTTTTTAGGAACTGGAGCAAAGGTGACTCTTATTATGTTTTAGCAAAGAGATTTGTGGCATTTTGCCCCTACCCTAAAGGTTGATTTTTAGAACTCTGAACTTGAGAGACATGATATAGGATATCTGGTGGAAGAAATGTCTAAGCAGCAAAGCATTCAAGATGTGACTTGGGTGCTGTTAAAGGCATTTTCTTTTATAAGGCAAGCATAACACAAAAGTTCAAAAACTTTGCAGCCTGACAATATGACAGAAAATAAAAACCCATTTTCCGAGAAGATATTCAAGCCAGCTGCAAAAATTTGCATAAATGATAAGGAGCTGAATATTAATCCCCAAGACAATTAGGAAAATGTCTCCAGGGTATGTCAGAGATGTTCACAGAAAACACTCTCATCACAGACCTGCAGCCTAGGAGAAAATGATTTCATGGCCCAGGCCCAGAGTCCCTGTGCTTTTGCAATCTAGCAACTTGGTGCCTTGTGTCCCAGACACTCCAGCCATGACTAAAAGGGCCAAGGTACAGCTTGGGCTATTGCTTCAGAGGCTAGAAGCCCCATGCCTTGGTAGCTTCCACATGGCATTGAGCCTGTGAGTGCACAGAAGTCAAGAACTGAGGTTTGGGAAACTCTGCCTAGATTTCAGAAGATGTGTGGAAATACCTGGATGCCCAGGCAAAATTTGTGCAGGGGTGGGCCCTCATGGAGAACCCCTGCTCGAGCAGTGTGGAAGGGAAATATGGAGTCAGAGCCCCCACACAGAGTCCCTACTGGGGCACCACCTAGTGAAGCTGTGAGAAGAGGGCCACCGTCCTCCAGATCCCAGAATGGTAGATCCACTGACAGCTTGCACTGTGTTCCTTGAAAATCCACAAACATCAATACCAGCCCATGAATGCAGCCAGGAGGATGACTATATCCTGCAAAGCCACAGGGCCAGAGCTGCCCAAGACCATGGGAATCCAACTCTTGTATCGGTGTGACCTGGATGCGAGACCTGGAATCAAAGGAGATTATTTTGGAGCTTTAAAATTTGACTGCTCCACTGGATTTTGAACTTGCATGGGCCCTGTAACCCCTTTGTTTTGGCCAATTTTCCCCTTTGGAACAACTGTATTTACCAATACCTCTACCCACATTGTATCTAGCAAATAACTAGCTTGCCTTTGATTTTTCAGATGCATAGGTGAAAAAGACTTCCTTGTCCCAGATGAGACTTTGGACTGTGGACTTTAGGGTTCATGCTGAAAACAGTTGAGACTTTCGGGGACTGTTGGAAAGGCATGATTGG